TCGGTGAAAACGCCGGACCTCTAAGGAACTGACTTTGCGAAACAAGGAACTAGCCAGTGAATTCAATTCGGACCAGAGACGTGAATGTTTTGTGAATGATGATGCCATAATTTGACCATAGAAAGTGACATTTGACATTTCATTATCATATTTGCTGAAGTATGTATTGTAATTAAATAATATATTTGATGTATATGCTTTGAGGTTATATGAAATAACATAGGATCATTTTTCTTGTTCTTTGGCACAATAGTATATTTTGAAGGTGAGTATATTAATTTTACTGTTTTCCGGATATTACTAAATTCTTGGAATTGGTTAATATTTGTCATTGTCGTTGTTTCCACGGATGTGGCGAAGCCTTTAGAGCTTCCAAAATGCTCGACATTCTACTCCTCGGTGATTTCCTTTTAGGGCAAACGATTAAGCAATGTATGGAGGGAAGTAACTCTAACCATCATCAAGATATATATTGTCATCACAAAAGGCAACTTTAAATTTGGATCATCTTTACCTTTGCGCTCTTGATGATACTACTCATCCGGCCAATGAAACTTCTCACCAATTATCACAACTAAATTTGTTCAAGAGATTCGAACCATCTGATAAACTGAAGCGACCCCTGACCTCGTTAATTCTGAAAGAGTATGTAGCGTTTTACAAACGACCTGTGTCTGTATGTTCATTCACAAAGGGTCAATATCTGGGTAGAAATGATATTCCGAAACCAGTTCATTGAATGCTGATCCTGTAACCACTAGTATCTCATTGGAATCGTCCACACTTTTTAACGGTACATGTGCCATGAGAGTTGTTTAACTACAAAATCGCAGATAAAGATTGATCACAGAAACAATACCAATTTCCTATTCATTTCGTCATACATTCCATCACCCCTTGTATCAATTCTGATAGTGTTCTATAGCAGTGTATATTATTGTTAAACATGGATTCTAACTGTTTTTTATTGGGTTTTTTGTAGAAGCTCGTTGCATTGTACTTGGACAGTGATTAGTTGTCAGGAATGTGGTACTGTTTAATGAAGGTTTTGAGGAAGTTACTATATTTAGATGCTCGTGTCATGTGTAAACTTCAGGAATACCGCGGAGTGAGAAACATGTGGAATATGTTGTGGGAGCACTGTGTGGAAATTTCCAGTAGCTAGTTAGACTGTATATTAGTGGACAAGGCCATGCCTCTCCTATCTCTCACACATTTCGTCTCTCACGCATTTCATAACATTAAGACCAGCTTTCGTGTGATGATCACTCATCACCCTCGATGTCCTGCCCAGGCCTTTCTCGGAAGTTTGACTAATTGTAATTGCCGTTCAGTAATTTGTGTTGATTTGAAACCCTAGTTAATTATAATTTTGGAATACAATTGTTAGTTTGTACATGATTTGTTGGTTGTTTGTTGGTTTCACACTAAGTACGTACAGATTTCTGGGTTAACATATTGTTTCAATTTGAGAATCGGTACGTAATAATAGCTTAAACACTGTACACCAATTCTATAACTGCTAATTAAAGAGGGAGTCAGTGTGTTGGGCTTAAAGCCGATTTGAACAGTTTTTCTTGCTATATCACAGCGTGACCGCTTAATGTGGGAGGAAAGCCCAAAGTGATGCAGGTCTCCAAATGTCAGAAACAAACTTCAGAGGCTTGAAGCTTTAATAAAATCAACACCCATCCGAAGTGAAAACGTGGTCAGCGAGTCGTGTAACTTTTTTAAAGTAGTCCGTCACGAGAAAGAGTTCCCCCCCCCCCTTAGCGGGCTGTCGCTCCTTTATCCCTCCCTCCACGATAAAACGGATCATGCTTGAAAATGTCCGAACTCTCTGTCCGTCATCTGTCCTCCTAAAACTTGTTTGCCCCTCCTGAACCTTTTGGCGTACAATGTTGAATCATTGTATGAATCATCACATTGACAGTGTCCATCAATGCTGCTAATATCAACTCCATACAGGATCAAGTTTGGTTTCCATGGCAACCTTACGTAAGACATTTACGAAAAAGAGATCAATGAAAAAACGAATCTGGCCGCCTTGAAGTGACATTTTTTTTTAAATTAGAAGATAGCATTGATGTATAGTGACCATTTAAGCATACTTCATCAAAATTTAAACATTATAGTGTTGTTGTATTCTGACATAATCCCCCTTCACAGTGATACTCTTATGCTTCCTCTGTTGGGGAATTTTATCCCAGTTTCGTAGAAGTCCTTTTCTTGGCTGTCCATAAAGCTCCTATGACGACGTCGTTCGAGTTAAAATTGGTTGGTTGGTTGGTTTGTTGTTTAACGCCGCACTCAGCAATATTCCAGCTATATGACGGCGGTCTGTAAATAATCGAGTCTGGACCAGACAATCCAGTGATTGATATCATGAGCATCGATCCACGCAATTGGGATCAATGACATGTATCAACCAAGTCAGCGAGCCTGACCACCCGATCCCGTTGGTCGCCTTTTACGACAAGCATAGTCGTCTTTTACGGCAAGCATGGGTTGCTGAAGACGGGTCGGTTAAAATTGGTTCCGGATGGAGCTACTGCATATGTGGGAACAGAAGAAGTCTGACAGAGCCAGATGAGGAGAATAAGGTGGGCGTTGAAGGAGTTCAAAGCAACATTTGTTGATTGTCGCCATGGCAACTGTCGCATTGTCATGATCGAAGAGTACATCTTTTCTCAGCTTCCCACCACGTCAATCAAATGTCGTAACTTTTGATGCCTAAAACATAGTATTATGCATTGTGCAATAAAACGATTAACAAGAAAATGTCATTGTTGTATCGTAATTTGTAAAAATGTTTAAAAAAACGTGCATTTCCGGTTTGGATACTGTTATTTCCTGTTTCAGAAAACATTTTCATTGTCGTAGAACTTAAGCACAATCAGCAAGATTGATCATTTTGTTCTAAATAAATCATTTCAAATTTCAGAAAAGCATTTATCAACTGCAGTGCACAGCGCATGGCACTAGATGACTAAATTACAAATGCAGTGATTCATTGTCACTTAGCAGCAAAAAACGCACGTTCAGAGTAAAAGTGTTTCAAAACAAGATGCCATGGATATTGCATGACTGTATCTCTGATCTTCCGTCAATCTAAAAGTAGTTAGATATTTTATTGGCATTATGCTTTTTGCTTGATGTTGACTTGCTAGTTCAAAGCAATTGTTTCGTTGTTTACGAAGTCGCAAAGTGCTGAAGATGAATAGTGCCAACTGCCACGGCTTTAATCGACAAACAAATAGAATTTATCTCGTGAGCCAAATTTATAGCTTTTCTTGATAAATAAGTCACATGAACATGAAAGTGTAAGGCTGTTCCTTCCTCCACCCTTAAACTTTTTCCTTGTCCAGATGTGTCTGTAAACAAGGAAACAAAAAGATTACACTTGAAATTGTCGACTGCCTGCCAGCGTGCATCAGGCAAATACATATTTCCAGAAGCATCCATGCAGAAGAGTCATGTATGTATTTGCTTTATAAACCTTCTTGTCGAGGTCGGGGGCACGGGTGGCCCAGTCGTCTAAGGCGCCGCGATTCGCTGTGCAGAGTTGCGTCCCTTGGGCACGCCAGAAACCTATGATTGTGGGTTCGAATCCCGGTTCGCCCCGATTATGTTTCTAGGTATGTCAGCACCATACCCGTGCTCGTGGGTTTCACCGAAGTGGTAAACGTCTGAGACCTGCATCACTTCGGGCTTTCCTCCCACATTAAGCTGACACGCCGCGATATAACTGTAATACTGTTAAAAGCGGCGTTAAACCCAACTCACTCACTCACTCACTCTTGTCGGGGTCCGTTTGTCTCATAGAAACCTTGTGGGGGAGGCCTGTTTAGAGGTTTAACATTTGAATTATGATATCCGGGTTTTACAGTTGAATTGTATAAATAGCCTTTTAATGTGCATCTTATTTTGATTTTTACTGTTGTTTTTGTCATGTTTAGTATTGTAATTCACAGTTTTCCCACTGAAACACCGGGACATGTGATGAAAGGGTATTCAATATATTGACGAAGTTGTCTGCATGCTACACGTTACGATGTCTTCGAATTCGTTTTGTAACGCGACCTCTGTATTGTTTCACTATAAGGTATTCTAATATTTCTCTTTCTTTCTGGTATTTCTAGCGTTAAGACATCTTAGATACAGTATTCCTCCTCGGTTTTGGTTGAAAATGTAAAACCTCGAGCTCGGGAGTCGAGTAATAGATTAAATTTGTACTTGGGTTTCAAACGTCCAACGTTCTAAAATCGAAGACAATAAATTAACGTTTTCATTATCAAACCCGCAACCTCACATATCGTGTTTAGTTTTGTAACCCACTGTTTTCTCAATGAGACACCTGGCAGGTGATCAAGTTGTTCAATGTTACTTGTCATGACTTCTGTTTGTGCTGCATGCTGCACGTGGTCTTTCTCTCGCACGCTTTGACTGAATTCCCTTTATACCGCGACACACTGTATTGTCTCACTAAAAGGTATCTCGATGATTTCTTATTTTCCTCTGATATTACTGCATTTACATCTGTGATGCAGAGCCATGTATGCGTTTTCTATGACGCCGATCGGGGGCACGGGTGGCCCAGTCGTCTAAGGCGCCGCGATTCGCTGTGCAGAGTTGCGTCCCTTGGACACGCCAGAAACCTATGATTGTGGGTTTGAATCCCGGTTCGCCCCGATTATGTTTCTATTGGTTTGTCTGCACCATACCCGTGCTCGTGGGTTTCACCGAAGTGGTAAACGTCTGAGACCTGCATCACCTCGGGCTTTCCTCCCACATTAAGTTGACACGCCGTGATATAACTGGAATACTGTTAAAAGCGGCGTTAAACCCAACTCACTCACTCACTCACTATAACACCCATCATCAGCGCAGGGTCATATACGTATTTGCTTTAACGCCCGTCACCACTAAAGCTGATTATTCACATATTATCCATGTGAAAATCCATTTGACTCATTCAGAAACTTACAATTCAATTTCAGGTCAACCGAAGATTCAAGTGACATAACTTTCGACCATCTCCAACCCTATGACAACGCCTACGCTCTGCAGGCTCTGCCCGCCATGTTATACCTCGCCATCCTGATGCTGGTGGGTTGTGTCGGCAACTCAGTCGTCTGCTACGTCTACACCACAAAGTTCAAACGCACCACGTCTACGACATATTTCATTGTAGCTCTGGCCGTCTTTGATCTACTGAACTGTGTAACTGGCATTCCGTATGAAATTATCGACTTAAGATACAATTACTCCCTTGGAATGATTGCAGACTGCAGAATCATGCCATTCGTCATTACCTATGTCTCCATATCATCTGCCCTGATATTGGTTACAGTAGCTGTTGACCGGTACAGGAAGGTGTGTCGAGCGTTACGTAAACAGGCGAGCAAGCGTGCAGCGAGGGTGGCAATATTAATGTGTTGTCTCGTCTCAGCCATCGTCTCAGCCCCAAGTCTCCCCTTGTATGGCGCAAGAACCATCATCATTCCCGGAGGCTACGTTAACGGCTCGGAATGCAGCAATGCCGATGACGTCATCGACTCTCTCTTCCCTGTCTTCTACAATGTGTTCCAATTTTTCGTTTTCTTTTCAGGGGTAGTCATCATTATTGTGTTATACTTATTAATATGGCGTCAGATTGGCCAGCAAAAGGATTATATGACACAGCTTACAAGAACGCCGCAGATACACGGAACGCGAGAGGAAACTGCACAAAGAACTTCCTTCACCGGAACTTCTCAAGAAGATGGCTGTGCAGCTGGAGCTGAAAATCGCCAAATTTCCAGGGCAGGTGAATGTGGTGCCCATGGTAACCTAGTGATGTCACAGCGCGGGGCACGTTCGCAGAGGACAACCAAAATGATGTTCCTGATCAGCCTCGTTTTCATCCTCAGCTTCCTGCCTCATCTCGGCATCATGGCGGCCACCGACATCAACAAGAACCTGTACGACAATCTCCACGGAGCCCAGGTCGCCGCCTACAACATCTGTCAAAGATCCTTCTTCATCAACAGCGCCTCCAACCCCATCATCTACAGCTTCTGCAGCGTCAACTTCCGCCGTGCTGTCAGGGATATGATAAAGAGGAAGAGTGATAAAGGCCCGATTGTTCACCTCCCAGAGACCGGTATTTGACATCAGGCTCAATCCACTGGCATTTAGTTTTCCAAATTCCGTTTATAAAGTGTACTGTCCTTAAAATTAAAACTTGAAAATATTGTTTTCAATTGAAATTCCAAGCAAAGAAATATTCATTTCCTTCCTAAATTTTCTATTGATACACACAGGATATTTAATTATTAAAATGTTCTATTTTTATATATTCAGGTTGTTGTCGTTGTGTGGTTTTACTTCTCATAGTAAATACTTAAGCCAAAATCCAATAGGGATAAACAATTTCCATGAGAATTTGCTTACAATACACTCAAAAGTTCCATATTTTGAGACCAGTGCCAAATATATTTCATACAATGAAGAGACACATATTTTAACTGGTTGGGATAATATTTAATACCAAACGAAATATCACAAATTAAGATTACGACATTAGATAGAGGAAGTATTCAACAGATAGCAGAATCAGAAACACTGCCTGTAAACTGTAAACAAACAAGGAAGTCAGACAGTAGCCAGTTATATAGAGGGAAGTGTTTTAATCAACTTCAAGGGGTCTCTTCAAACCGGGATGATTGTGGGTTCGAATCCCGGTTCGCCCCGATTATGTTTCTAGGTTTGTCAGCACCATACCCGTGCTCGTGGGTTTCACCGAAGTGATAAACGTCTGAGACCTGCATCACTTCGGGCTTTCCTCCCATATTAAGCTGACACGCCGTGATATAACTGGAATACTGTTAAAAGCGGCGTTAAACCCAACTCACTCACTCACTCAAACCGGGATGTGACAGTGCTGTTTGGGCGTGAGTGAGAGAGGTTTCACTTTCTCCGAGATAACAGCCACACAGTTCTATACGACGGGATATGGCCATCCCGACAATTCAAGGAGCCATATTGATGGTTACGCAGTCACTGGTAGTAGTTCACCAGGCTTGTCAGACAGTTCCTTGGTGAGGTGTGTACGTACAGGGACCCGTTCCACAAAGCTATCTCAGAGCTATAGTCAGAGTCTTCGTCATATTGTGGGAGTTACGAGCAGCTTAGCGCTGAGATCGCTTTGAGGAACGGGTCCCAGAAGAGTAGACAGGAAAGGACAAGAACTCATTAGTAGGGGAAGTGACCCTTAACTGACATTATAGCTAAAATGGATAGAATTATCATTAAACCGCCCGCACGTTATCAGAAATGAGCGGGCCACTGTAACTTGATAATGCCCTCATATTGCTTGACGACGGGCCATTATCAAGCCCGTTGTTAGGTGACGTCATAGGGTAGAGAAAATGACGTCACGTATTATAGTGACGTCATCTAGTTTGTTCTATGACGTTTCCATATTTGTAAAATGTGGTCAGTGACATTCGTGTTGATTGCAGTAAATGTTTCAAAACCGATGTTGTTGTTTCTTTTTATTTGATAACAAATTCCATCCATTTTAGCTATAATAAAGGTAACGCTCTTTTTCTGGGCATTATCATTTGCAGAAGCCCTCGGTCTTTTCAACTGCCCTCCTTCGTCGGGCAGTTAATGGAAAACTTTGGGCTTCTACAAATGATAATGCCCTGAAAAATAGCGTTACCCTTATACCATAGGCAGTTTGGCGGGGGTATAGGTTTTAATAGGGAGTCTATATATGTTTTATATGTTCCCTCAGTTAAGTAAGTAAAATATATCTATTTAAATATTCACAGTTCTTCCAATACAAATTATAACAGCAGCTATTATAGCTAAAATGGATAGAATTATCAGTGAACCGCCCGCACGTTATCAAGAATCAGCGGGCCACTGTAACTTGATAATGCCCTCATATGGCTTGACGACGGGCCATTATCACGCACGTTGTTAGGTGACGTCATAGGGTAGGCATAGGTGACGTCACGTTCAATAGTGACGTCATCTGTTTGTTATATGACGTTTCCATATTTGTAAAAGTGGGTCAGTGACATTTGTGTTGATTGCAGTAAATGTTTCAAAATTGATATTGTTGTTTCTTTTTATTTGGTACAAAATTCCATCCATTTTGGCTATAATAACGGTAACGCTATTTTTCAGGGCATTATCATTTGCAGAAGACCTCTGGCTTCAGAGAGCCAGAGGTCTTCTGCAAATGATAATGCCCTGAAAAATAGCGTTACCCTTATATTATTACCATGGCCAGGAGCACAGTCATGTGCGGGTAACCGGCTTGTTATCAACGCTTGAGAATGGCCGGTTGGCCACAGAAGCTTGACATTTTTCTTTATTTAGTTGTTTAACGCCGCACTCAGCAATATTCCAGCTCTATGACGGCGGTCTGTAAATAATAAATGCTGGACCAGAAAGTCCAGTGATTGACATCATGAGCATCGATCCACGCAATTGGGATACGATGACATGCATCAAACCAAGTCAGCGAGCCTGACCACATGCACCCGGTCCTATAAGTCGCCTTTTACGACAAGCATGGGTTGGTGAGACCTATTCTACCCCGGATCTTCACGGGTCCTGAAGCTTGACATTGTAGATGAGGTACGGGATACTGCAGACTGACCAAACGGGTATCGTATTCGTGGTAGGTGTTCAGTGAGTTGACTGGTATATTGTAGTTAAAGTAGGAATGCTTTGAGTTAGTCGGGACTTGACTCTCGGAAAGCGGCTAGGCATGTTGGCGCTCATAACGCCTCCGAAGCTGGAGATGGTGATCATTGTGATGATGTAGCTGCACAATACCATAGAATTAACGTTGTGGACCTACAGACGGACTAGTGTTGTCAAATGCAGAAACATCCGGTTCAGCACCAACGTCGTACCTGGGATACTAAGAAAATATAGTTCGGATCAAAAGTGTTGTTTTACTCAGTGGAAATATAGTTTTTACTTAAGCCAATAATTACAGCAATTTATCCTTAGAAATAAACTATAGGACATTTAAAATTGGAAATATACAATAATGTTTGCTTAATTATTTTCCAGATATATGTTTGGCAACTAATTCAGCTCAGAGATTTGGAGACCTTTATTTTGTCAAATTGAGCCACAAAGCCTCTTATGGTGCCATTTAAACATAATTTCCGTTATTCATGATTTTTATATAATTGACCCACTCAGGTTTTATAATACGAACACCATTTCTGTTGTTGCATATACACAAAATTATCAAGTTCTTGAAATGGTGTTTGCATGGACCGATCGACCAGCCAATACCCTAATTCCGAAACAATTTATCCTGTCGATTTAAAAGTTCAGGTAACAGGGCAGCCTTGGTTTGTGTCCGAACCTCCACACATATGAATTGTAAAAACGATGAGATTTTCTTTGATACGGTCCCTATGAGCGTCTGGAGGACCCAATTTATTAACCCGGGGCCTACAGACCTAAAATGTCCTTACAATTACACGTTCCACTTGGCATTGTGGTATTTAGGGGGACTGGGACTTATGTATTCTGAAATCTTCACTTCCTATCAGAAGATCAATCTGATCCAATTCAGATCTTTTACTCCAACATACGATACCTCTCTGCCTGGAAATCTGTGGACCTCTCCGTGGAAGATTCCTGCGCTGAACAGATGCCAGCTTCCGTACACAATTCTTTACGTAGAGATGTATCGTATCGGAGCAAAGATCGGATTTGAATGAGATTGCTGTAAAATGGCCTTCTGTTGGGTTCCGGAAAGAAGCGATTGAAGACAAGTGTGAATGCACGTTACGGAAAGGATCGAGTGATGACGACGTATGCATATCTACGTTTCCGTATTCGTATACATACTACAGGGGTTGAGCTTTTGATATAAATCTTCACAAAAGGTGACATTTAATTAAGGATTTCAATTGTTTTCTTTAAAGTTGAAAACCATCAATGAGTCTTGTCTTCACTGATAATACAACTCCTAAATGAAAGATTAAGATAATCTTGAAAGCTCTTATATGACCCTGTGGGCAAAAAATAAACACATATAAACGGGAATGATCTACGTTTCACATAAAAATAACAAAATCCTTTCCATATTCATGAGACATTTGTGCTAAAAGCAGAATCGATTGTACGATTCCGACTATATCATGAACATGTGGTTATGAATCACTATCAAATAGTTTTGATATCATGAGTTGGACAAAAGGTGAGTGTATCCTTTCCCATCGGTTGCACCCGTGACAAACACTTGCAAAGGCAAGTCAAATGTTCACATGAAGAAACACGGTAAAACATATAGTACAAGTCAAATTTCCGTCGGACATGATGTTTGTCACTGATGCGTCAAATGTGAACATGTCCTCCACATGTCCACCATAAAACGTTTTAAAGCTTTACTGAGGCCTTGAATGTTGTAAACTTGATCAAGAAACGTTTGAGGAAGAGTCCGTCACAAACACTTGCAAAGGCAAGTCAAATGTTCACATGAAGAAACACGGTAAAACATATAGTACAAGTCAAATTTCCGTCGGACATGGTGTTTGTCACTGATGCGTCAAATGTGAACATGTCCTCCACATGTCCACCATAAAACGTTTTAAAGCTTTACTGAGGCCTTGAATGTTGTAAACTTGATCAAGAAACGTTTGAGGAAGAGTCGTATGATGTTCTTCAAAATCTTGGTAGAAAGAGCATGCTCGATTGTACCTCAAAGTACACCAAATCCGGAGCTGCTGGAATATTTGTCGACATACTGATGATGTAGACAATAATATTTTCTTGTTTACTAATTCTGTGGTGTTAAATGAATCACCATGCCTACATCAAATGAAAGTTGCATCATAAGCACGGGGGTTGCATTTCCTTCCGATAAGTTGCTGTCTGGCGAATAGTATCGGCTACGTCACATTTGTAACCAATCAGTGCGAGGCAAATCTTCTACGTGATGGTTGTGATTAATGATTCCGTTATTGGACAGGACATCTGTCGTGTTATGTGAGTGGACGCTGTTAAGTTTGGGTCTGATTTATACCGGATTAAGTAATAGCTCGATTTGTTCAGGATGTCGAGCTGTGTCCTGTTGTTTGATGTCGGGGTTACAACATTCAAGGCCTCAGTAAAGCTTTCAAAACGTTTTATGGTTGATATGTCCAAACTTGTCGCGTCAGTGACAAAATGATGCCCGAAGCAATTCCTTGTTTTGTTCCTGTGTTGTTTTAAGATGAACAATTGACTTGCCTTTGCATGTGTTTGTGACGGGTGCCAACTTTCGTGAACTATTTGATTGGATTCATGAACACATGTTTATGATATAGCCGGGATCGTGGTATCATACAAAGGATCCTTGGGGTGGTTGGGTAGCCTAGTGGTTTAAGCGTTCGCTCGTCACGCCGAAGACCCGGGTTCGATTCCCGACATGGGTACAATGTGTGAAGCCCATTTCTGGTGTCCCCCGCCGTGATATTGCTGGAATATTGCTAAAAGCGGCGTAAAACCATACTCACTCGCTCACACACTCACAAAGGATCCTGATTTTAGCAAGTTGTCTTATGATTAGGAAAGGATTTTGTCATTTTCAGCAATACAGCTGTAATAATGTCGGCAGCACGCATTAAATAAAAACTAACTCACCTCCCTTAGTTGTGCCAGGATCCGGTAGACGTAGCTTCCTTTGTACGACCTGGGTCACTTGGGGATTTCCTCCCACATTACGCCGACCCATAATGGCATACTACCATTTATTTCATATTACTATAGTTAATATGCCATTGCGTTATTTGAAAGAATCGGGTGGTCATTAACTTCTTTTGAGTAGTATATCACTACAACAAGCAGTGATATGCTTACATCAGAAGTATTGGTATTCTGCCTTCGTGATGTAGTTGACTTGGTCACTTGGACACACTTTCATTCCAAGAAATGTTGGGCCCAGACATTGAAACTGTGTACAAGTGATTTTAAGTAAAGAAAAAAATAAATATGGTAGTTTTGCACCACAGTGTGGTACATTTTTTAGGTCTCGGACCAAACATTTCTTTGAATGAAAACGTGTATGATGTACTGACCCAGACAATTGCATCACTGAAGCAGAATATCAATACTTATGATTTAACGCCAATGGGTTGGTTGGTTTGTTGTTTAACGCCATACTCAGCAATATTCCAGCTACATGACGGAGGTCTGAAAATAATCGAGTCTGGACCAGACAATCCAGTGATTGACATCATGAGCATCGATCCACGCAATTGGGATCGATGGCATGCATCAAACAAGACAGCGAGCCTGACCACCCGATCCCGTTTGTCGCCTTTTACGAGAAGCACAGTCGCATTTTACGGCATGCATGGGTTGCTGAAGACCTATTCTACCCCGGATCTTCAGGGGTATAACGCCAATGGGAATCTTCCTACCTGTCCAGGGGCCGTAGGGTAGCCTAGTTGTTTTAGCGTTCGCTCGTCACGCCGAAGACCCGGGTTCGATTCCCGACATGGGTACAATGTGTAAAGCCCATTTCTGGTGTCCCCTGCCGTGATATTGCTGGAATATTGCTAAAAGCGGCGTAAAACCATACTCACTCCTACCTGTCCAGCCCCAATTGTATTAGTACAAATTCACTCGAACCTGGTGACTGGTAAGACAAAAGGGGTTTAAGGGGACATTTCACATATGAGACTGCAGAATATGACAACCATTAGGTGTTGGGACCTATTCGGACCCGGATCTCCCGTATGGTTAATAGTATAAATATATAATAGTACACAATCTCCACGTGATACAAATTAGTCACAGGCACGACTCAAGGATATGGTTATTCCGGTTGTAGGAAGCTTCACACCACCAAGTATATATAGGTGAGCTCGTCAATACAGTTGGTGCCTCACACCCGACACTGGATGGACACGCCAGGTAAGCAGATACTTTGTAAACGTCAAGATTTTGTGGATGCTGATTTGTTCTAGCTTTCCAACGGCGACCTATATAGGATAGAACCTAGGTAACCGGATGGACGGTAAAATGGCACGTCGGAGTATAGTAGCAGTTGTAGTTGTAGTTGAAGTAGTTGTAGTTGAAGAAGTAATGTTTTTTGTAGTAGTTGTTGTAGTAATAGCTGTAGTAGTTGGTGTAGTAGTAGTGGTGGTGGTATAGTAGTACTAGTGGTGGTGGAAGTAGTAGTAGTAGTAGTAGTAGTAGTAGTAGTAGTAGTACATGTAGTAGTAGTAGTAGATGTAGTAGTATTAGATATAGTAGTAGTAGTAGTAGTAGTAGTAGATGTAGTAGTAGTAGTAGTAGTAGATGTAGTAGTAGTAGATGTAGTAGTAGTAGTAGTAGTAGTAGTAGTAGTAGTAGTAGTAGATGTAGTAGTAGTAGATGTAGTAGTAGTAGATGTAGTAGTAGTAGATGTAGTAGTAGTAGTAGTGGTGGTGGTGGTGGTGGTGGCGGTGGTGGTGGTATAATAGTAGTTGCGGAAGCATAAGTAGCAGTAGCAGTAGCAGTAGCAGCAGCAGCGGTGGTGGTGATGGTGGTGGTAAGAATTCAATCATCAGCAAGCATACTTCTCGTAAAAGGCGACTAACAAGAGATTGGGTGATCAGGCTCGCTGACTTGGTTCATGCATGTCATCGTATCCCAATTGTGTAAATCGATGCTCGTAATGTAAATCCCTGGAAAGCCCACCCCAGACTCGATTATTTGACCACCCGACAAGCATCCCTTGTTTCACATAGAGGTCACAACACATCCCTTGTTTCACATAGAGGTCACAACATATCCCTTGTTTCACATAGAGGTCACAACACATCCCTTGTTTCACAAAGAGGTCAAAACACACCCCTTGTTTCACATAGTGGATACAACACATCCCTTGTTTCACATAGAGGTCACAACATATCCCTTGTTTCACATAGAGGTTACAACACATCCCTTGTTTCACATAGAGGATACAATACATCCCTTGTTTCACAAAGAGGATACAACACATCCCTTGTTTCACATAAAGGTCACAACACATCCCTTGTTTCACAAAGAGGATACAACACATCCCTTGTTTCACATAGAGGTCACAACACATCCCTTGTTTCACATAGAGGTCACAACATATCCCTTGTTTCACATAGAGGTCACAACACATCCCTTGTTTCACAAAGAGGTCAAAACACACCCCTTGTTTCACATAGAGGTCACAACACATCCCTTGTTTCACATAGAGGTCACAACACATCCCTTGTTTCACACAGAGGTCACAACACATCCCTTGTTACACATAGAGGTCACACCACATCCCTTGTTTCACATAGAGGTCACAACACTTCCCTTGTTTCACATAGAGGTCACAACACATCCCTTGTTTCACACAGAGGTCACAACACATCCCTTGTTACACATAGAGATCACAACACATCCCTTGTTTCACATAGTGGATACAACACATCCCTTGTTTCACATAGAGGTCACAACACATCCCTTGTTTCACATAGAGGTCACAACACATCCCTTGTTTCACATAGAGATCACAACACATCCCTTGTTACACATAGAGATCACAACACATCCCTTGTTTCACATAGTGGATACAACACATCCCTTGTTTCACATAGAGGTCACAACACATCCCTTGTTTCACATAGTGGATACAACACATCCCTTGTTACACATAGAGATCACAACACATCCCTTGTTTCACATAGTGGATACAACACATCCCTTGTTTCACATAGAGGTCACAACACATCCCTTGTTACACATAGAGATCACAACACATCCCTTGTTTCACATAGTGGATACAACACATCCCTTGTTTCACATAGAGGTCACAACACATCCCTTGTTTCACATAGAGGTCACAACACATCCCTTGTTTCACATAGAGGTCACAACATACCCCTTATGTCACATAGAGGACACAATACAACTCTTGTTTCACATAGAAGTTACCACAAATATTATGTTTCACACTGCCTACATCTAACCAACTTACAGAGGAGTCACACAACATTACTACACGACCAACTACACTGCATTAATAGGTGCTGACACGAACTTCTTTAACAAATGATGGTCGAATTGTCATTCATTGTTCAGGTGAAAAAAAAAGTCTACTTGACAGATTTGTACTCAACCAACTAAGACTTGCCTGCCATTATTGAACAACGGCCCATTAACGAGATGAACTCAATATTTTTTTACATTGATATTGTAATATGCAACAGAATATATTCCAAACTGCCAATAAGGATGAACACTATACAAAACTTGTCATATTGAAAATCGCATTCTAAACTCTTGAACAAGTCACGATGTCAACATTGGCGGGAAGCACGTGAATTTCACTTTCACAGGTAAGTGGTTTCTTCGGAGATGATGTGAAAAAATCGAAGAAATGGATTTGGGGAAAATTTGAAAGCATGGTCAAAGTGCACAGGTCAAATCAATATCAAAATCTGAAAAAAATGTGAAAAAATAAAGTTGTGCGTTGAGTCCCTCTACTAACTACACACACTCCATTTCATTTCTTTTCAAACCAAAATCAGATACCATGCCGCAGTTTAACATGAACACCCCACTCAGACACAATATACTGACTCCAAACCGACCAGTCCTTGTTTTAGTCCTTTAATACCGAGCGCCAGACAGGGTAACAACAAGTACCATCTTTTAACGTCTTTTGGTATGGAGCGGCAGGGGATCGAACCCCGGACTTTCCGCTCTCCGGGCGGACGCTCTACCACTAGACCACGGAGGCGGTCAATTTATAATATCGCTAAACATGGAACGTATATCTTGTGCCCCGCCACTATCTACACATGTACCAAATTCATTTTGAACAATAATGACAGAGGCCATAACTAGCGTTGTCAAATTGGTGGCGACAATTGGCCATTTGGGATGACATCATTCCTGGGAACACGTATGGGATGTTTTAGCTTCATTGGCCAAGAGGTTTCCCAGGAGATTGTGTTTACAATACAAAGAAATGCATTTCAGAGAAGTTAGGAGCAAGGTCACAGTGCAAAACAATGCAAAGGTCAAGTGATGGTCAAATTTTGTAAAATGGGTACTTCACTTTCCGTTATTTGAGCTAAAAAGGGGAAATAACTCCATAAATGATATTCGTTAATCCGGACTGTCATTGGGATTCGGATTAACGGGGTGTGTCTAAATACTCAATAGACACATTCGAGTGAGAGTACATTTGGTTTAACGTCGCTTTGAACAGTATTCCAGTTATATTGCGGCGTGTCAGCTTAATGTGTGATGAAAGCCCGAAGTGATGCAGGTCTCAGACGTTTACCACTTTGGTGAAACCCACGAGCACTTGTGTCGTGCTGACAAACAGAGAAATATAATCAGGGCGAACCGGGATTCGAACCCACAATCCTTTGGAACCCGCGCGCCCTAAGAGCACATGATCTATTAAACCTAATCAATAATATACATTCACTACCCATGACGTATTTTTATTATTAATTATTAAAGTTGGTTTAAAGTCGCTTTTAACAGTATTGAAGTTATACCACGATGTGTCAGCTTAATGTGGGAGGAAAGCCCGAAGTGATGCAGGTCTCAGACATTTATCACTTCGGTGAAAACCACGAGCACGGGTATGGTGATGACAAACCTAGAAACATAATCAGGACGAACCGGGATTCGAACCCACATTCATCGGTTTATGGCGTGTCCAAGGTACGCAACTCCGCACAGCGAATCGCGGCGCCGTTCGAACCCATGATAAGTACATTATAATGTATGATTTATTCTGTATAATTAATACTAGATAATGACTACCCATGACCCATGCATTTAATTCTACAAATTATTTTCTTACAGAAATCTATCATCACCTCTTGTCTACGATGTCTTCGACTCTCGCTAATTTAACCCAACACAATTATAACTATTCCATCAAGTCCATACCAGCTATTGTATATCTCGCCACTGTGATGCTAGTTGGATTTATCGGCAACTCTATTGTGTGCTATGTGTATCTCGTCAAGCTAAAAAGAATCAAACCTTTTGCATATTTCATCTTGGCATTGGCGATCATTGATTTAGTCAACTGCGTTATAAACATCCCGTTTGAAATATTCCACCTAACCCACAGGTTCACTATCGGAACACACACCCTATGCAAAATTAAGTCGGCATTCAGTCCTTTCGTTGGTACGTTACTAGCGATTATTATAGTGCCAATGTCCGTGTACAGATATAAAAAGATATGTCGGCCTTTGAACAAACAAATGACCACTCACGGAGCAAGGTTATCAATACTGTGTTGTTTCCTAGCGACTTGTATCATATCTGGGCCTTGTGTGGACATATATGGCCCATCGCCTATTACGGATGGATATTTCAATGGTTCAATGTGTGCAATATCAAAAAATACAAACTTCAATCATTCTGTTGCCTGCGTCAGTGCATTCTGCTGTACCTTCGTCGTCGTTTCTATCACCATTGTGCTCGTGTATTCCCTGATATGGCGCCAGGTTGTCCGATCTAATAAATTCAGAAGAAGTCTTTTAAGTGTTGGGCATATTAATTCAAACAATGGCCTTGCAGGCGAAGACACTCCACGAGACACCATTATGACATCACGGCACGCGGTGAGATACCGGAAGACAACACTGATGCTGTTCCTGATCAGCCTCGTTTTCATCCTCACCTACCTTCCACACCTCGTTCTCATCGCTGTCATCATCAGCAAGAATAAAGTGTTGATCAGTAGCAGCCACAGGCTCAGTGGACCCCTAAATGTTGCCTACAACATCGGCGTCAGATCATACTTCATCAGCAGTGCTTCCAACCCCATGATCTACAGCTACTGCAACATGAAGTTCCGGCATGCTGCAATGAGTATATTCAAGAGGAAACGTTGACATAAAATACATTTTATATTGACTGTGTGTGTGCTTGGGGGCGGGAGCGGGGGGTGGGTGGGGGGTGGGGGGGTGGGTGGGGGGGTTGGGGTGGTGGTGGGTGGGGGGGGTGGGGTGGGGGGGGGGGGGGGGGGTTGGGGGTGGAGTGTTGCTTGCTGGGATTTGTTTTCGTTTTTTACTGTTCTTCTTCTTTGGGGTTTTACTTCAAAATCACACTTTTCCATATTACCATTGTTTTAGTTTTAGACACCCAGTTGTCCGGCGAAGTTCTTTCGACTATTTGGTAAAAGTATAACTGAACGGCGTTTTGCAGTAGATCTACATTTGAAACATAAATAAGGATTATGTTTATAACGCAGTTGTATAGTTTCTTCAGTGAATCGGGGGAACGGGTGGTAATCGTCTGAGGCGCCGCTGTGCAGAGTTGCGTCCTTTGGGCACGCCAGAAACCTATGCTTGTGGGTTCGAATCCCGGTTCGCCCCGATTATGTTTCTATTGGTTTGTCAGCACCATATTCGTTCGCGTGGGTTCCACCGAAGTGGTAAACGTCTGAGACCTGCATCGCTTCGCGCGTTCCTCCCGTATTAAGCTGACACGCCGTGATATGACTGGAATACTGTTAAAAGCGGCGTTTAACCCAACTCACTCACTCACTCGTAAGTGAATCCTTTTGTAATGTATATAATTTTTTGCACACTAATATTGATGAAGCTATCCATCTATCTTCATGATGCAGCTGTTCATAGTAGGATTATTTATCCTACCAGGGGTGTACATGTTCCTGAGCCTGATCCACAGCCTTAGAATTGGGAAGATTCACCCGCCCCAAAACACCGCTTATTGAACGTATGTGTAAATTCTGTAATTGCAATGCTGTTGAGGATGAAACACACTTTTTTGCTGAATGTTCTCTCTATACAGATTTACGCTATGATTTATGGAATTTAGCTTCTCAATCAACTCCAAACTTTATACAGATGTCCGCTGCCGATCAGACCGTGTTCTTTATGCGGAACAATAAGGTGGTCAGACCCCTAGCCGCGCTTCTTCATCACATGTATCAGCGAAGACAACTGTGTCTTTCGCCTCTACCAACTTAGTTCAATGTATCTTAGTATCAGAATGTTCTGATAACTGGTGATAACTGGTGATAACTCATTTTTATGTATATGTATGTACTGTGATATTTCTCATTTTTACTCATATGTATGTAACGTCCTGCGTGTCTCGGAGGCCATAATGGCCGGACACTGTACACACTATTTGTGTATTTTTATTGTCATTGTTGTACAGTGTGTGACACGTAAATAAAATCATTTTCTTCTTCTTCTTCTTCTTCTTCTTAATGATGGGACCAGGCGTTAGAGTATTGTGAAATACAAGAAATACAGAGCTCTTTGTGATTTTATTCCGGACTTTTAGACCGCTACGTAATTTGTTTAGTGCACTGCAAAATATTTCAGTAAATATCCTACAAATGATCATTTTATTCTATAATACAGAGTAGGAGCACTTATGTTATCAGAAATGTATGTCTATATCATGTAAATAAAATAAGAAACACTCAATTGTAAATCTGATTTAAAATGTGCATGCATGATCATTATTGTATGTGTTCTGGACCAGCGGCCTTTTGCTGAATAAAACTGTCTGTTTGTCTGTCTGTCTGAAACATACATAACGGTAACAACAAAAAGGATTTACTTAACAATTGAAAATATATGTGATATTATTTCACATCTTTAGTCTATCAAACCCAGCCTTCCTGACAGATGCGGGAACTGCCTCTGTGGCCTAGTGGGTGGAGCCCCTGCCTGCGGAAGGTCTTTTGCTGCATTCCCGGCGGCGTCATACCAAAAGTCGTTAAAAGATGGTACTTGTTGTTACCCTGCCTTGCACTCGGCATTAATGGGACAAAACAAGGATTGGTTCAGAGTAAGTTTACTGTGTCTGAGTGGGGTATCTATCCACACACACACGCGCGCACGCACGCACACACACACACACACACACACACACACACACGTGACCATGTCTGGTGCTACAAACGGCGTATTCCACACTCAGACAGACATGGGCTTGACACAGTGTACCCCCAATGTGGGGTTTCGAACAAGGACATTCGGCGTGACGAGCGAACGCTTAAACGACTAGGCTACCTAGCTTACGGCAACACGCTGAGGTCTGACTGTATTGGACATGACAACACACACAAAAATAACGATTGTAGAAAGAGAAAATAAACTTTTTAAATCATATTTATTTCCGTCTTCAACAAAAACACCTGGCCTCATAACAACAAAGCAGTGGTAAGGTTACACAGTGACAGTTTCTTGACTGAACAATTGAACAGCTGAACTTAACTGAACAAGCTCGTGTTTATCATGAAGGTAATGCAGGGGTTCTCGTGTACATGTGCGGGAAGTTAGGAAAGCCGTCAATCCCAACTCACTATCCTGCAGATCGATGAAGACATCATGTGTAAGATTGATTTGGATAACTTTGAAAAGTGGACACAGTGATGAGGAGTGTGAATGAGGAAAGATCCTGAAAATAACAACCATAACCTATGTGGTAACAACCATAACCTATGTGGTAACAACCATAACCTATGTGGTAACAACCATAACCTATGCGGTAACAACCATAACCTATGTGGTAACAACCATAACCTATGGTTCAAGCGTAAGCTGAAACTCGTTTACTGATAAATGTATCACATGAATATGTGTATGTTAGTTGACGTGAGGGGCGTGGAGACGATGTGTATACTAGTGTAGGTGAGGGTTGTGGTAACTGTATGTCTGCTAGTTGACGTGAGGGTGTGGTAACTGTATGTATGCTAGTTGACGTGAGGGCGTGGTAACTGTATGTATGTTAGTTGACGTGAGGGTGTTGTAACTGTATGTATGTTAGTTGACGTGAGGGTGTGGTAACTGTATGTATGCTAGTTGACGTGAGGCCGTGGTAACTGTATGTATGCTAGTGTAGGTGAGGGTTGTGGTAACTGCATGTATGCTAGTTGACGTGAGGGTGTGGTAACTGTATGTGTGAGTGTGGTAACTGTATGTATGCTAATTGACGTGAGGGTGTGGTAACTGTTTGTATGCTAGTTCACGTGAGGGTGTGGTAACTGTATGTATGCTAATTGACGTGAGGGTGTGGTAACTGTATGTATGCTAGTTGACGTGAGGGTGTGGTAACTGTATGTATGCTAGTTGACGTGAGGGTGTTGTAACTGTATGCATGCTAGTTGAAGTGAGGGTTTGGTAACTGAAAGTATGCTAGTTGACGTGAGGGTGTGGTAACTGTATGTATGCTAGTTGACGTGAGGGTGTGGTAACTGTATGTATGCTAGTTGACGTGAGGGTGTTGTAACTGTATGTATGCTAGTTGAAGTGAGGGTTTGGTAACTGAAAGTATGCTAGTTGACGTGAGGGTGTGGTAACTGTATGTATGTTAGTTGACGTGAGGGTGTGGTAACTGTATGTATGCTAGTTGACGTGAGGGTGTGGTAACTGTATGTATGCTAGTTGACGTGAGGGTGTGGTAACTGTATGTATGTTAGTTGACGTGAGGGTGTGGTAACTGTATGTATGCTAGTTGACGTGAGGGTGTGGTAACTGTATGTATGCTAGTTGACGTGAGGGTGTGGTAACTGTATGTATGTTAGTTGACGTGAGTGGTTTGGAGACGATGTGTATACTAGTGTAGGTGAGGGTTGTGGTAACTGTATGTATGCTAGTTGACGTGAGGGTGTGGTAACTGTATGTATGCTAGTTGACATGAGGATGTGGTAACTGTATGTATGCTAGTTGACGTGAGTGTGTGGTAATTGTATGTATGCTAGTGTAGGTGAGGGTTGTGGTAACTGTATGTATGCTAGTTGACGTGAGGGTGTGGTAACTGTATGTATGCTAGTTGACGTGAGGGTGTTGTAACTGTATGCATGCTAGTTGAAGTGAGGGTTTGGTAACTGAAAGTATGCTAGTTGACGTGAGGGTGTGGTAACTGTGTGTATGCTAGTTGACGTGAGGGTGTTGTAACTGTATGTATGTTAGTTGACGTGAGGGTGTGGTAACTGTATGTATGCTAGTTGACGTGAGGCCGTGGTAACTGTATGTATGCTAGTGTAGGTGAGGGTTGTGGTAACTGCATGTATGCTAGTTGACGTGAGGGTGTGGTAACTGTATGTGTGAGTGTGGTAACTGTATGTATGCTAATTGACGTGAGGGTGTGGTAACTGTTTGTATGCTAGTTCACGTGAGGGTGTGGTAACTGTATGTATGCTAATTGACGTGAGGGTGTGGTAACTGTATGTATGCTAGTTGACGTGAGGGTGTGGTAACTGTATGTATGCTAGTTGACGTGAGGGTGTTGTAACTGTATGCATGCTAGTTGAAGTGAGGGTTTGGTAACTGAAAGTATGCTAGTTGACGTGAGGGTGTGGTAACTGTATGTATGCTAGTTGACGTGAGGGTGTGGTAACTGTATGTATGCTAGTTGACGTGAGGGTGTTGTAACTGTATGCATGCTAGTTGAAGTGAGGGTTTGGTAACTGAAAGTATGCTAGTTGACGTGAGGGTGTGGTAACTGTATGTATGTTAGTTGACGTGAGGGTGTGGTAACTGTATGTATGCTAGTTGACGTGAGGGTGTGGTAACTGTATGTATGCTAGTTGACGTGAGGGTGTGGTAACTGTATGTATGTTAGTTGACGTGAGTGGCTTGGAGACGATGTGTATACTAGTGTCGGTGAGGGTTGTGGTAACTGTATGTATGCTAGTTGACGTGAGGGTGTGGTAACTGTATGTATGCTAGTTGACATGAGGGTGTGGTAACTGTATGTATGCTAATTGACGTGAGGGTGTTGTAACTGTATGTATGCTAGTTGACGTGAGGGTGTGGTAACTGTATGTATGCTAGTGTAGGTGAGGGTTGTGGTAACTGTATGTATGCTAGTTGACGTGAGGGTGTGGTAACTGTATGTATGCTAGTTG